AAGATGTATTTACTGAGCTAAACCAGCTGTTCTGGGGTGGAATGCAAAAAAAAGGCCCATGTGATTGCTACTCAGTCATTTTTAAGGCAACTGAAAAATACATTTGCTGAGCTAACCTCACTCTCCCAAAGAGCTGGCACTGCTAGCTTCTTCTGTGTAGAAGGTTTAAACAGTTATTATAGTGTGTCATAAATTTTAACTTGTAATTGAAAATCTCTTCACTTCCTCAGAAAAAAAAAAATCTTGTATTACTTGCTATGTAATTACAGACTATGCAGCTGCTCTCTTCGGCCTCACTAGAAAATTTGAAGACATGAAACACTGTACAAAACTTATTCAAATTTTATTAAATTGCTAGTCATAGATATGCCACACAAATACTGGAGGCTCTCAAATAATATCGCTTTCTTCCTGTTACCAGGACTAAAAAGCAGATGAATCAAAAGTTGATCCAGGCCATACTGAGTTCCCCACCACACAGGAGACCATCAGCTCCTTAACAGGAAAGTATAATCTGTATTGCTGCCAAGCAGACAAAGGGAAAGCTACCGGAACATGTGGCTGGAAAAAGACTTCAATGTATAAAGACATTTTTTAATTTAATTTTCAATAGGTCCTTGTCATTCTGCATGGCCTCAATTGTCTGAGTTGCTTTAGTACAATTTTTCTGCCATTTCCTTGTGTCACTTATAATGAAAAAAACTCTATTTGTGAAATAGTGAACCTAATATTTCAGCCAAAGGCATAAGACTGGTGACCCCACAATATCCTGTTCACCTCCAGTAGTTTGACATGAGTCATAGTCGATTGACTACTCCCTAGCTTTTGTGTACTGTGGAAGCTATGGTGTGATGCTGAATTTTTAGAGCAATTAAAATAAAATATACACCATGCACCTCTACCCTTGATTCATAATGCATTTCAGTCTCAGGTCACTGGTTTGAAATGGACAGCTTCTGGAAAAAATCTTTACACACCCTAGACTTCACATTGTACTTTGTTTCTCCCTGTTGGTGCAGTATCAACATTTTTAATAGCAAATTATTAATTTGCTGGGATTGGTTTAGGCTCTAAATAGAATTTTCAAGTCTGAAGAATTTAATTAATTCATTATCACAACAATGTAAAAGAACTAGGAAAACAGTTTGCATAGACAAACCACAACACTGTTTCCACCTGGCCCTTCTTATAGCTTTCGTAATTCCTGCCCAAGCATGCACAGAAGAGCTCCATGATATGTACCAAAGTGTTTGATATCTCAAGTCAGGTCTACAGGATTTTGCAAAAGTAACATCCTTTGACTATCAGTGAGACCTATTTTTCATAGCCATTTTGAAAACTTCCACTATAAGAACCACTTTAAGGTTTTAAATTTAAAATATAGGCAGTCATAGTTGTTTTAGATCATCAATTCAAAACAGTTAAGATTCACAATGAAGCCTTGCACCCTCAGAATAAACTTATGCCCATATGTTCTCAGTTTTATATCCTCATAACTTTCTTGGTAATTACATAGACAATTCAACAAAATGGTCAAATTAATTTTTTTAAATAGTCATATTTTCAAACATATCAATTTCTTTAGAAGTTGCTTTTTTTCCTCATTCAATCCAATTGCAACTGGAGATGCTTACAGTTCTCCAGGCACCTTTATAATTAAAACTGTAACACCCTGAAATTATTTTCCATTACTCAATGGACCAATCAGTGGAACAATACTGGTTATATTTGTCACTAGAAATTACTGTGATTACTTTTCTCTTTGCTTTCACCTGTGTCACTAAAAAAGCCAAAAGGAAGTAACATGGAAGAAGAGAGAAAGACTATGGATCCAATATCACTGATTCTGGCATTCACCAGGAGCAAATTAGAGAAACAAAATGCATAAAAAAATTCAGTTTATCCCACTTTGCTCTCAATGAACTAGACAGTTTTGAAAGCTGAACTAAAATAGACAAATTTAAAAATTTGCAATACTAGTTGAAACAGGTACCTACTATAATTGTTTTATAATCTAGGGAAGAAGCCAAAAGAAAATTACTGGAAAAACAAAACCAGACAGATTTGCAAAGAAGGTCATTAGCTGTAAAACCAGAAAATTGATATTGAAAGCTATAAGACAAATAGCTACACAGGTCTGCTCAGAAGAAGGATTTATGTATGTAGGAAGAATAACAGAGGGAATTCCTTGAGGGTTTAGTATTTCACTGTAGATGTTAAAATGCTTAAAATACAGGAGCTCAGAAGCTGAAAGCTAATTCTGATTTTACCTCAAAAAAGAAAAGAAACCCCTCCCATTTCATCAAGGAGGAAAAACTTCGAATTTCTCTTCTTAATTTATAAAATTGCTATATTATCATTTTGTCATCCATCCATTCATTCATTCAGACTATACCTGGGCAAATTTCTTTGCTTGCATTAAAAAATCCAGCAAAAACAATAGCTTTTCCTTTAGATGTTCCAAGTTTATCTTCCTTGATTAAGCATCATGCAGTGTGGTTTGGAAATTTCCACTTTTTGGACAGTGAAGACTCTGCTCACATATCTTGCTATACAAATGATACATTTTAGAAAAGAAAACATACAGTCCTGAATATCAGAGGTATTTGCTTTTGAAGTGTAGATGTTCAACTCTACTAGATGACCACAATCAACGTGGCTCAAGCGGTGGTAACCCACTACATGGGCAGCAGCAGTTGTAGTCCTCTATCACCCAAGGTGACATCCAGTGTGGCATTCTGCAACCTTGCCCCTTCCTCACCCATCCCTGTGATGTTCTGGCAAGCAGACATAAATGAAGACATAGCCCCACCTTCTATTTTAAGGTGCCAAAACACAGTTAATGAAATGTTGAACAGCAGTGTAAAACCACTGCAGAACATTGTGAGTAGTTTCTGAGCTTGAAGCTGATTATGATCAGAATGTACCTGATGAACCTTCTCTTCTTTTAGTTAAAAGCCCAGTGAAAACTGTTCCTATGCTTCCTGTTTCATTTCTTCTTCCTTAGAAATATATCATGAATGAACAGAAAAAATGACCTCAAAGCACATATTACTGTTTTTCACAGTAAGATATAAAAGAAAAAGAAGGAACATAGTCATTAAAAAAACCCTAATGAAAGTGCAACCTAATCAAAGGCACTGTTGGTTCAGCATCCATTACTTCTCCTTATGAGACCTAGAAGTAGATATGATTTAAAACAACGGAAGCAACACAATAGTAAGAATAAATCACAGAAGCACAATGTATTTACTACGGACTACTCTACAATGCATAGTTAAATAGCAAGCAAAGAGAAAAATTCATCCTGCCATCCAAAAGTCTGCTCTTCAAAATAATATTTTATGTATTGCATGCATACACATCTATCAATATAATTAGCAAAAAAGCTATGTCATTTTCTAATTTGTTTTAAATTGCAAGGAAATTAATTTTAAAATGTAAGTATTTCTATATCTACATATACATATCTCTACTTATATAGAAATGTTTTTTCTAGATTATATATCATTACATTAATATATTTAACTGGGGAATTGCATGCTCATGTAAGACATCTTACAGAGTTCAGGCTGTGGAAACTAAAACAGGTATTCTCCAATCAGAGTTTAGGGATTTTGTTAAAGATTCAGAAATTGAGAAACAGAAGATATTAACCCAAGATGCAAACATGGCCAGGTGCTGTGCGACTGAGGAATGTTGCCATCGGTTTTCATGAAAGTGTATGCGACACTAAGTACCATATTTACCAAGTCGATGAAGACTGCCAGATAACAGTCTTACCACATTTTTCACCTTGTTGGGGTGAAGACATAAGATATGCTGTGATAAAGAAAGCAGACAGCAATGACTAACTTGTTTTAGTTAGGCCCAGTCTAGTAGTCTGCTCACAGTGCACTTAGTATAAGCTGACACAAACTAGCCACAAACACCATTGCAGCACCATTAAGACCATGATTGGAGGAGCAGCAATAACACTGGCAGCCAGCCTACATAAGTCCAGTGTTTAAAGCACTTGTTTGAAGAACAGAAGATCCAGATTTTTTCTTCCTTTCTTCAAATTCCATCAGCAACATCCCAAGAATAACCAACACTGATGGAAAAGAACAATCAACTGTGGCAGGGGGAAAAAAGGGCACTATTCATGTCTCCTGTTGAATTCAAAAGCATTGGGCAAAAACCAAATCAGGATTCACAGGGCCAGAAGGATTGGTTGGGTTATAGAGACCTGGGTTCTCATTCCTGTTCCCAGACCTATTTCTGTGTTAATAATTTTTAATCTAATAATGATTCAGCATCAAAGCTAGAAATAGTTCCAGAAAGTGAGGACCAAACTCTGTTCTGTTAGCTGAAAGGAGCCAAGCAAATTTAATGTCATTTTATAAGACAGACTGTCATCCCCTGATCACTGGATTTTTGTTCGCGTTTGTTCCAGATTCAATGAATCGTTCTTGAACACAAGGGGCCTGTTCCAAATTCCAACTTTGTTTTCCACTTCTGCTACTTTGTTCTTTTGTTTCTTCAGGAGGAAGGGTTCTCTCTGAGACTTAACAGCCATTAGCCAAAGAGCCGGCAAAGCCCACCACAGTGCTTTGCTTCTAATTCATCCTGCCAGTGCAATGGAGTGGCTCTGCAACTCTCCAGCCAAATTTTCTCCCTTTTGGTATCAGCACGTTATTATGAAGGCTACTATCACTCATACATTCCTAAAACATCTTTACTTTTCTCCACCAAATTCAGTGAATACCCATGTGCTCACAATACCTACGCGTCACTTTTCTTCCTTTTACAGGGATCCATTCCCTTGGACAATTCAACCCAGAATGGGCTCCCCTGCTCAGCTGGCTCTGGAACAGGCTTTGTAGTGCCAAAGACCAGCAATATGGGAAATGAATCTTGCCCATAATGTCAAATAACAAACGATAAGTAGTTGGGAGTGATTCCAGCATTACACAACAATTGAAATTTGAAAGTGTGGGGGAGATGAATGTTGTTCTCACCTGCCTCTCGGTAAGTCTGCATCATCTTTCTTCCACCGGACTGTGGGTGTGGGATCCCCCTGCACCTGGCACCGGAAATCCACGGCCTCCTCTTCCAGCACCACTTGGTTAATCGGTCGCCTGAGAAACGTGGGCCGTTCTTGAAAGAGACATTAAAATTCCTTAGTGAGTCAGAGGGTTGAAATGAACACTTTTGACTTTTCAGCATCTTTCTGTTTAGCAATTCACGGAACGAAGAAAGGAGGCTGAGCTCCACGAATTCAGACAAATAGAACTGATGATGTGCATAAAGAGCCCGGAAGATGACTGCCAGGCTGGAGAGGCGCTGGCTGTCGCACCCAGCCCTCACGCAAGAGCTGAGTGCCACCAGAAGGAAGCTTGTGCTAGCACTGACTGCTCACCTGCCGTGCCAGCAGAGAAGGCTGCAAGACCGTGCCCTTCTGTGTGAATGTTCCGGCTCTGCACCACTGCATACACAGAGCGTGATCTAAAACCTCCTGCCTGTTCTAGCGATACAGGAGCTGCCAATGGAGACAGCCTGCCTTTGGCAATAATCAATATCTTGATGCTTTGGAGGACAATGTAAACTCTGTGTTATGCATCTCAGGCAATTGTGGACTATTGTACCGAGGTCAGAGCTTCCCTGATCCCCATCGCTAACTTCACCATGGAAAACTAAATTAAGGTCTGAATAATAAGTTCTGTTTACCCTTGTTATGTTAGCCTGCACAGCTACAAATATTATTAATCATCATAATGTTGTACAGGCCTGCTTAAAATCCAGATGCAGAGCCACAATCTGATCTCAGTTATGCTGGTACAAACTCCAAGTACCGGTAATTTCATTTGAAAGGATGTCACTGGAGTTAGTTTCCAAGCTGCCTTTGGATTGCATAAATTTTGGTCTGTCCTCTCCTAGCCATACCACACTTTTATTGTCATAAATTATTTATGCTAGAGTCAAAGCATTATAAGACTGGGTGTATAAAAAGCAGTATTTCCACTCAAGACAGGGACTTCTTATAAAGGCATTTAAAACTGGTTACACACTACATTTCGCATTTCATTCTCAGCAAGTTGAAGGCTATGATGTCACTTAAAAAATTATTCAAAATTCACACAGACGTAAGCAATACCAGATTCTGACTCAGGCAGTCTGTATTGATAACTAAAGAGCTGAGTTTATGGGTTGGCTATCCATGTTTATTATATCCAAATAAAACAACAACATTAAAAGAACATTAATAAGGTTGCAAAATGAAGCACGCAGCACATCAGTTCCAGAAGTGCCAGAACTAAGGATGTCTGCATGCCCTTTAATCACTCCCTTTCTGTTTATGCCTTATGGGACTGGTTGCAATTATATGATCACATACTATTTTTTCCCCATACTTCTCCAGATTGTTGGTATTCATTTAATGAGCAGGTGTTTAATATTTTGCTTTAGTTCTATCATTTAGTGGGTGGCCTCCTGTCATATTACTCAAACTTCACTTCAAAGACAGAATTATTAATTTCCTCATGACCTCCGTTACACCTATCTTACTGCTTCATAAACAATTCACTTATTTTCATAGCTCCTCTCTGAAGCACGATGGAGATCTATGAAAGCAAGGTAAAAAATATCTGCTAAATTTTGATGCTCAACCTGAGACACAAAATTGCCAATTTTTTTATTTTACATTTAGCCTTAATTTTCTGTCTTCAAAGCTCAGCTTCCACTGAATTCAGTTGCAGCTGATAAAATGTTCACCACTTTTACAAATGAGAATATTAAGTCAGAAAATAAGGAAAACAAAACCACCTGTTAATAATTATGTAAATGAGTGACAGCATCACATCGGAATTCCATGATACTAGCAAGGGGACTTACTGGCAGGGAAAAACATGTTTTGTCAGCAGAAAAATAGACATGCTCAAGAATCTACAGCACTTTTCCAGATGCTACAAATAAAACCATGTCTAACGGGCAACGATTCTTCTCCCCCTGTCTCCCAAGCTATTGCTTTTGTCCCATTCCTTGTCCTGCCCAGGACCTGCAGGTTCTAGCATCATTTGGACAAGTAAATTCAGTTCTAGATTCTCCCCACACGATGAAATCTCAGTCTTTATTCCCCGTTCCAAGTCTGTACACCAGCCATATATAACCTCAACTACAGCTCCTTGTCCTCAATGTGCATCATCAGATTTTTCCTTCCCTGTGCATTTAGTCTCTTGACCCTTCCCCATCTCCAGCTACGTTTGCTCCTGCCCTCACCTCTGTGTCCTGACCAGCATGTGACAATGCCTTAAGTCCCTCTCCATTCCAACCACTGGCTGTGCCAGCCCTTTCCAGCTGCAGACTGCTTCCTTGGTTGATTTGTCTCCTCCTAGCCCAGAATTTTGCTGTTCACAGCTGGAACGCAGCAAGTATCCAAGTCCAGTCTCCCTGGCCTATCCATGCCTCTCACTTTGTACCTCACAGCAAACTGATTCTTCTCCACTATGTGTTTGACCTACGGTTGGACTTGATGATCTTAAAGGTCTTTTCCAACCTAAACGATTCTAGGATTCTACATGTGAACTGGAGCTTCTTTTCTCTCTGCCACACAGATGCAGCCCATCCACAATGTTAACAGAAGAAAAATTGGTTAAAGTAGCCAAGTATCATCCCAGGAGAGAGACAGCAACACTAAACTGAGGTTGCAGGAAAATGCTGTTCAGACCTGCATTCTACCTGGTGTCTATGGTGTATGAATTGATGAATTGATCATTTATTTTTTTTAGAGGCGCATAATTGGCTAAATTTGGTGAAAATTATTTGGACAAGTGAAAAATTACATCCCTGGCGTAGTGTAGCTATTTCCCATCAAATTTTATGTCCCTGTTATTACATACGAGGACCTGCATTTCTCAGGACAAAAAGCTTCCTCCATTCCTCTCCTTCAAATCCTTCCCCATTTGCCTCTAATTACCCCTTTCACCTCCAAACTGCAGGAACTTCAACATTCTTAGAGAAGAATGAATTATTTTGGCAATTAAAAAAAATAAAAATCAGTTGAAGCAGACATCAGGCATGGAAAATTTTGGATAAAGCCTTCTGGTTTGACAAACTTATTAAAACTGGACAAAGTAACAAAAGCATTAGTTGTTACTCTTAATGCTAAGCAATGCACTTGGCCTGTCTGTAATTATGTGGATCTAGAAGGGAATATCTTAATGAAACTTTCTGTAAGTTGCAACAGCTCCTAAGAAGAGCTCAGTCCAACTCTTGCTCTGAGCTCATAGGCAGTACACTCTACATTTTGGTATTTGTTGTCGAAAAGATGATCCTGAACCAAGAAATTCAGACCCACATCAGCATCCTCATAGGTGATTTTGTGATTTAGAGACCCTTGAATTTAAATAACTCTGCATGTGCCTGTATGTTGGCTTGGTCTGCATACAAAAATGATTTTAGACCATGTTTATAAAAGCTGCCTTTAAACAGCTAAGAAACTAGTGTATGTGTATTTATGAAATTGCTACCTATGGCTGTAAATGCTCCTTATACAGGAGATGGGAAAATAAATTCCTATCACATTTTGAGAAGAATCTAGCTGATAAGACAGTAAATGGCCCAAAGGTCATTAGGTAAATCACTTGATTCCACATCAAGGAAATTTAGGAGTATACATACATGTTTGTTTCAGATCAGCTTCTCAAAATTGTGTATTTTCCAAAACAGTGTTGAATTTGCTAGAAAATAAATAGCTATGCAAGTACAGATCCCAGTTAGCAAGGACATGCAAATACCAATAACTGCTATTTCCATTTTTCCATCATCTCTGCGTTTTGCACAGTGCGAATCAGGAAAGAACAAGTTAGTGCTCATGTTGTTTCCTGTATTTGTATCACTCAGACAACCCCTTGAATATGTCCAATAGCTAATTATACAGCTATAAAGTGATCAGAGTGAATGCCATTACCAATGCAATTAACATTCTTTATGTGAGATTAACTGGATTTGAGTCACCTGCATAACTTGCTTACAATGTTAATCTCTCAGGAGACAGAGAGCTGCTTGCCTGAGCATGCTAAATAAAGAAGGTTTCTTCACACAGCCAGGTAAAATTTAGTTTCAGAGGCAAACTTGAGAAATTGTTTTTTTCTTTTGAAATGGTTTGCCCATAAACAAAGCCTTGTGGTATAATTAAACATTGTTACTCTGTCAACTATACTGAGAACACAATATAGTTGAGAAACAACAAGAAAGGGTAATAAATTAAAATCATAGACATAAATAAAAATTTTAATATAGCTATTTTATAAGCTTTCACTGAGTAAATAAAGTACCCACTTCCCATACTTTCTCTGATGAATATTAAAAATCTTTGAAGAGAACTATAAAATAGGTCACAGTTATATGTCGTGCTATTACTCGTGTGACCTTTATAACTTCAGAATAAACTTTGCTTGCAGTTATAAAAGGGGATTGTTACTGCAATCTGGACTCACACCTACAATGTGTTGCAGTGCTTGAGACATGCGCTGCAAGAAAACCTGCAGAACTGATCCTAACCAGAAACAGGAAAATCCTTTCCTTGCTTTGGGTGCTGACACAAGTTAACCCCCGAACTCAATTTTTCCTCTATTTAACAATTGGTCTGAGTATCACAGTCTATTAGAGAGACTCCGATGACCTTCAGATGTATTATTGCCCTTTCTCTGTTCCTCAAAAAGTTAGACAGCCATATATGGGACCTCAATCTAATTAAAATGATCCTAACTACCTTAATATATTTTTTCTGCTGAGGCAAATGCTAGAGTGAAGGATTTGATGGTCCTCATAATGTGGAGCCTCAATCTGATTTAGAACTGTTTTCTTTGTCTTTGCTGGAGAGAAGGCATAATTTTCTTAAAATGTTTTTGTGTTCTAGAAAGTAGTATTAAAACATGAATTAAAAGGCTTTGGGGAGGGAGTTAATAGCAAATAGTTTAAAAATAAAAGCTTTTTTCACTTTAGTGTTCTGATGTAAAGGAAAAAAAAAATATTAGATGGTTGGAAGTAAGTTTCCCTTCAGAATGCTGTCAATAGTGTAGATATTTTATTAACTGCAACATGATCTGGATAAAGTAAAGCTCTCCACCAAAAATGAAGATGTGGAAGAAGACAGGATATTAGGATCACACTAAATTTACCTCTGTTGGACAAAAAAATGAAAATACAACTGCAAAAGCAGATTGTTTTATATTTAAAGACATTCTTCTACTGCCTCTTTTTAGGCACTTTTCCATTTTTCATTTGAGAAATAAGTGCTTGTGTAGACATTGCAAACTTCTACACTCCAAGCAGTATCCAAGATGTGATGAGCTTGCAGAGTAAAGGCATGGAGCACTGTTAAGAGGCACATGCAAATAAAGTAGAATGATTTTGATCAATTGTTAGTGTTTTTCTCATTTATATACATCTACAACTGTATTAATTTCAGTTTTTACTGAGCATTAGATATGGACTTTGGAGACCAAATGAGATCCTTTTTCACAGCAGTATCATTTTCCTATTATAACTTGTCAGTATCTCTGGATAACAAATATTGCAAAGCCAAACTGGCTCTTTGCAAACTGTCCCAGCACACTGCAAGTGGGAAATACAAGGATTTGAAGAAAAACAGGAGGAGCTTTGCTCTGAAGGACAAACTACACACTGCCAATTTCTCTGTCTTGAACTGTGAATGTATCCCCGATTTTGATAGGTTTTCCATATGGCTGGGAAAGCTTCTGGTACTAATTTCCAGGATATGACAGGACAAGAGTCTCTGCTAAGGCCTTCCACATAGTCAGAGTTCAGGAAAGTAAAATGTGGCACAATGTCTTCGTTAAGGGGTTTTTGGATTTTTTTCCTCTAACAACATGTCATCATAGTATACTCTTTCTGGAACTGTGGTATCTCTTTCAGCCTGACAATGTCTAGAGAACATCAAACACAAATACTTCTTTAAGCATCAGACAAAAATACCTCTTCATCCCACAGGACCTTATTAGCTGAAAAAAGGCTCACGTACCAAAGCTAAAATCAAAGATTATTCCAAAACAATCTTTAATATGTCTGAATTGACATATCTTTTAAGACATTTTTGTACTCTTCTTAGTTATGCTTTATATTCTTCTGAAGCTCTGCTAAATATATCTTTTTCCACTGCTTGATGCCAGCCTCTTGAAGTTGATATATTAAGGCTTTCATTGATTTCACTGAGCTTCAGAATCAATACACAAGATATACCTTTGTACATGCTCTTCAAACATACCATTTTAAGTCCAAAGGAACAAAAAGGAGTCTGAAATAGTTAAAACAACTTGAAAACTTATCTGAGAACAGTGCAGTAGTATGACAAAATGATAAAAGCTTAAGTTAAACAGTAATTCTTACTTTATTTAATTTCTGGCTCCATATTATGTATTTACAAACCAAGCTTTCTTACAAATTGGAATGAAACTGTTTCTGGTTTGCATCTCGCTTTAAGTCTGTTCAGCCAAAGGCTATGAGCCCCAACACAAGCAAAGCAGCCTAATTTGTATCACTTACACTTCTGAATTTGGCCTTTAGAATAGTGCGTCCATAACAGTAAAGTACCACGCTGCCTCTTTTTGTGAACGTTAGGACTGATGAATTAGTTATTAACTTTCTTTAAAGGCCAACTTAGACTCTGTGACAGATGCTGCCTTCTTGCTTTACTCCAGGATTACACCCTGGAGCCTCATAAAGGCAAAAACTAGCAGTACTGCTTGAAAGAGAAGACTAACAAAATTGTAAAGCATCATTGTCACTATACACAGGAATATTTTTGGGAAGCACTGCTTATATAATCAGTCTGCTTTATGGTATTTTACTATGAAAGTTTGGCACTTTACTACTAGTAGAAGAATCATGACTTGGGAACAAAAGAAATGCAATCCTCACCGACACTAACAGTATGCTGCTACCAGTGCCTAAATGTTGAAAACTAGGTTTCCTATGCAGGCAGGGTTGAAATGAAAAATCATTTGTTTTGTGAAAGTTCTACATGTATTATCCACAACTATCTCTCAGCAAAGGTTATTGAATGTGTACCCAGCCAAGTGGACACATTCTGCATATGGGAAACTTTCATTTTCTCCTCCTACTTCTTTCCAAGGTTCTTATTGCCCATTTTATTTTAATTTTTTTAAACTCAGGAAAGGCGTAATCTTTTAGTCCAGGCTTCCATGCTGTTCCCTTCGGGCCACCAGTTACCACCACACTGACTCAGTTTTTCCAGAGGCAATGCCTCAAGCTAAATTTACTGTACAGGGAGCCAGAGATCTGTCACAAGTCACATGCAGAAATTAACTTCAGGTATTACAGAAAAAACTTGCAAAGCCAAAAGTAACAAGTGGCTGATTCCTGGAAAGGTTTGAGAACTAGTATGAAACAGTTCCTTTTCCTACAGAGTAGTGTGTTTACTAAGGCCCCCTTCACACTATGGAAAGGATTTGGGGGTTTGTTATTTGGAAAAGGAATAGAGACATTAATAATCAGCTAATTAATACACATTCCTCTCCTGAATCAGCGTCAGCTGTAGGCTTGCCATCCACTTTATTAAATTCTCTAAGTCTCTTAGCTAAGATATCTTCATTTTGATTATAAAGCCCATTTTCAAATATGTTCAGAACAGTTAAAGTTGGGCACATGAATAATATGTAAGCATTATGATATTTTTAGCATATTTTTCTCAACATTTGCTCTATTCCCATGTTCCTCAAACCTGTGAGTCATATTAGAGGAAGGCTGTGGACTTAACAGATGATACGTGGTTTTGCCTGCATTCAGTAAAGTCAATCTGCACAGCCAATCTGATGTTTCCCAGAGTTGCTGGATTTATTGGATTTATTGTGTATGCCTAGACTGATTGGACTGTCCAGTAGATACATTGCTTCCTGGAAACATCATGGATAATGCTCTCTGGTGCACTGTGCGTGCACCCACCCACACATGAGCTGCTGCCTGGAGCCCAGGAACAGAATACAACTGTTCTGCTGGTGGCAGGCAAAGCCAGGCCACCTTCTTTTGTACAGAGCAGACCAGGACTAACCTGGCCATGTCTACACAGTGAGCCCAATACACCAACATAGAGCTTCGGGGCCAGGTGGCAGCCAGGAAACAGGCACAGGATAGTCGAATCCTCTTGTCAAACAGCAGATCATAACCTGAGCACCTGCTTCCTGCATGCTATTCTTGGACAGCAAAAGGAAGATAGGAAGGGAATACCTAGATAGAAGGGGAATTTTAGACAGGAAGATACCAGATAGGAAAGGAATTTTAAATACAATTTTCTTTAGGTAGTCTAACACAATTATGAAGAATTATTAATTTATAATTAATTTATTGCTGATTTTGTTCAGTATTCACAAAATAGACTTCGATTGTATTTTATGAATTGATTGCTATGATTAAATCCTGTAAAAAAACCAGAATATTGTAATTGGCTATGTAATATTTTACACATCAAGACAAATCTAATACTTTTCGCAGCTCTGCAGGATATGAAATTGCATGCATATTTCAGATTTTATTCCTACAGTTCAATGCTTTTTAACAAATTATTTTCTTAAGGATTTCTTAAGGCTTTGTAGTTTAGGACTGCAATCTGCTTGCTATCCACAGGGAGTATTACCAGAGATTATCAGTACTTAAACTGATGAAGAAGATATGTCATGTCTCTTTTACATCTGTATAAAAGCACAACTTCAACAGATTGGCTGCAAAGGAGATAATAATTTGATAGAGATCCTTTCTGTGTTTTTTTGCAAGGTGCACTAGTCCTGTCTTTAAAAGTCATATGCTTCCGTGAATCCACAACAAATTAAGTGGAGTGGAAGCCTTTATAGTCTTGTAATGCTGGAAAGCAGCAAATCCTCAGTCACTCACGGATCTTGTCTAGCAGAAACTTTTCTATGCCTTCTGTGAATCCCATAATATGCTTTTTTAAAGTGGACAAGCAAATGTTGAATTGCACATACATGCAAACACAGATGGCAATATCTATGACTGCTTCAGAAAGGACCTTAGAATTTCTATGAAAAGCCTTACTGGAATCACAAGTACTTTTGTTTGGAATTTCGGTATTGTATCAAGGATATCAAAGAGGTGTAGCAGGAGGGAACATGAACACTATTTCTCTTTCTCTTTTGTATGCATGTATATGTTTTCTTTAGCAGTGAAGGGTTTTTTCCTTATTGATTTTCTTTTGTTTGCTCAAGACCTCTTGACTAATTCTTACAGAACCACAGCTAATGGTAAATAGAAATGTCATGACTGCAGGATGTACCACAGCAGGATTTTGTGGCTTTGCGTCTTATCCAGTTGTTAGCAGGATGGATCCAGTTCTAGGTTCAGTATTACTCTATTCTTGCTCTAGACCCTAACCATAGGGCAAATGTTCCTAACAACTTCTTGCCTTGCCCATCGGGTCTGGAAGCTCTCTCACCCAGAAAACCTATTCATTTTTTATTCATTCAGCAACACCGAAAACCTAAATGATGTCGTGGCTTACAGGATGAAAAGCTGTTTCACGCCCTTTAAAAAACAAACGACAAAAGTATCTCTATATATTCAAAAAGTTGATCTTGGGATTTTTTCCAACAACTTTTTACTGATCAATTGAGTTCGTTTGTGCTCTCCCACAGAGGTTTAATTTCACACCCCCACAGAAATAAGGAATTATTTAAATAGGCAATGCTGGTCCAAATCTCTGTTAAGCAGGCATTGTCAACTGTATTAGAAGTAGCTTAACTACATTTGGCAATTTTGTGAGGGAGAGCATTATGTCCTGCATTACCGTCTCTGAGTGTATGCATATCATTAAGGACCTCCAATTAGACTGAAACTATGTGCTTAGAAGGGAAAAGTTGAGCCATCCCAGCTCCATAATTATAAATTGCAGCCTTTGAAACCTGGTCTTCTCCAGCAACCATGAAATGCAGCTTAAGCAGTACTACTGTGTTTTGTTAACCTTGTTTTGTCTCATATTTTGATGAGTCACCCAGGTCAATTCAGTCTATGACATCTGTAGTGAAAAGGAAACAAAAGCTTGAGTCGCTTTACCAAAGACAGTCAGCTCTGCCGGATCGCTGTCTCGCTCGCCCACCATGTTGGTTCCAACACAAGTGTACATTCCGGCATCACTTTTTCTTGTATTGGAGATCATCAGCTTCCCACCACGTATCTGTTTCAAAACAAGGAATATATTTTTAACTTCAGATAAAAAAAATCTATCAGAAAAAATCTACCTTCCCAGGCAGCAAGTTCCACAACCAAGGAATTTAAAAGTTTTGTTTGTAAGTATACGTATAGCTTTAAAATTATAATCCTGTATACTTAAATATCTTTAAGCTGTTCTAGAACACATTTTATGCTACTGACTGATTTTATCTGCATTTCAGATTTTTCTTCCGTTTTCATTAGATGCTTTACATTTCAAAGATTACATTTCTTGCTGCCTCTTTGGTAATGCAGAGTGCTTGCACTTCTTGCACAATGAAATGTAAAGCACTCAACATCTTTCTCAAGAAAAAGGCGATTTTACTTAATTTTATTTAGTTCACTTTATTTTACTGGTGTCTGAACAGTCTCCTTGTTCAGTGATTAAGACAGATTTTCTCTTTTCCTTGATGCAAGCAGACTGAATCTAGCCCAAACTGAGAATTCACCTGACTCCCCTAAGACTTAACAATTTCCTGGCTGCAAAGGGTGCTTATAGTGTGAAAGAGTAGGGTAGTTGAAAGAAATAAAGTAACAAATTTGCAGCTTGTGAAGTCACAGTCCATGTCAAAAGTTAGGCAATGGGCTGTTCTAGAATAAGCTAGGAATATTGCCAAAGAAACTTGAGGGTCAAGGAATGATAACCAGTTCCTTGCCATTCTTCCTTCCTCTGCTCTTGAGTAAACCCTAGCAGAGACAGCCTAGCCTACAAATCGCAACTACTTAAGATTGTTTAGCTTGAAATACTTCTTAGGCACCCAAAGTAATAAACTAGCTTCTTGATAGTACTTCTATATTGAATAAGGTCAGCACTGAATGAGTTACATATCATTACATACAACATAAAACTTTATTGAAGGAATATTAATAGTGAAAAGCTAAGCATATAAAAATTAAGAATGAAATATGCCCCCACACCCTTAATTTATCCCATTTGCTTGCACATACCAGGATATAATTTCTAATCACTCGCTAAGTTAGGTATTTCTGCTGGATCCTTTTTCATTCAGTATGTGGAATGAACTGTCACAAAATTCAACCAGTGTTACTCATTTACTCAATATGTATTCCTGTTTAGGAGCAATTATTCTTTAGAGTATAACTTTAGCCTTCATTTAGAATACACATCCCAATTACTATACTAAATACAACATTACTAGTATCATCCTAAGCTGTTGGGTTTTTCCCACGGAGTATTTGTGTACCTCATAGATATGACTGATTTTATCTTTAAAACACCTCTCTGATACAAGGTCTGATATTCTAATTTCATTGAACTAAGATCTCATTTCAGTGAACTGAGATCTAGAAAAGGTAAGGCCAAATCAGTCAAACACATCCACAGAGTCCCCCATCTAACAGAGCACCTTACATGACCAAATCTGCAGCTCTAATGGACCTCCATTACACTGGTTATACAAATCAAGCCTCATGAAGTTCAAGTTGGAGACCCAGACCAGAAGGAATAAACAACCTTCTCCAACCTGCCTCATTTGGGAAAGCTCAGAGATGCAAACTACCACAAGTAATACGAGTCTCTACAGGAAAGGCTGTAAAGCTATAAAGTTCTGCTGCACTCAGCTGTGGGGCTTCAATTCACGCCCTGCGTCTATAGAATCACAGAATGAATCATAGAATCATAGAATGCTTTGGGCTGGAAGGGACCTTTAGAGGTCATCTAGCCCAACCGCCCTGCAGTGAGCAGGGACATCTGTAACTAGATCAGGTTGCTCAGAGCCCCGTCCAACCTGACCTTGAATGTTTCTAGGGATGGGGCCTCTACCACCTCTCTGGGCAACCTGTTCCAGTGCCTCACCACCCTCATTGTAAAAAATCTCTTCCTTATATCCAGTCTAAATCTACCCTGCTTCGGTTTAAAACCATTACTCCTTGTCCTATTGCAACAGGCCTTGCTAAAAAGATTGTCCCCATAGACAACCACCTGAGTTGTACTCACACTGATCCGCTCTTACTTGTCATCAATACGGACTTTATCTTTCTTCCAGTAGATGGTAGGCTCAGGGTGTCCACGAGGTGGCTGGCACTCCAATATGGCAGGCTCTCCAGCTGCCACCACAACATCTGTAGGGTTTTGGCGGAAGTCATCCCGTAGCACTAATGCAATAAATGAGGGCAAGAAGAAAAAAATTACTAGAAGTGATGACACTGTAAGGGCAGAGAAAAAAAAAACCACATGCAGACACATATAATGTTAAAAAAACAAAAAAGTCCCAACCATTATTAGGTGACGACTTCGCATCTTATATTTACTATAAAAGACCTTTTAAAAGAAGTTGGTGAGGTGTGACCTTTTGTTCAATGGAGGCAGATTTCACATACAAGGGGTTTTTTTCCTTGGGTTTTTTTTTTTTTTCTCCAGATAAGAACAGGGCTCTGCATTTAAATTAGAAAGACCTGTAGCACGCATTACTCTTTTTAACCTTGACAGGGTCACTTCCCATCCTTGCAAATGTAGCATTGCAGGTCCGACATTGAGTTCATTTCATAACAGAAAACAACATGCTGAATATCTGGCTTGCCTGGATCTCCAACTTCAGCATAAGGTAGGTAAAGAACTGATACAACTGATACCAAATTACAGAGTTACACTTTGATTAAGGATATTGTTATTATTACTATTATTATTGTTATCATCAAATACATGCTGAAATGATCTCCATTTCTGAAAGGTGTCAAATCAAGCTGATGGTAGTATGCTTCCAGCATATTTATTTCCTCCTTTTACTTTTTTAGTTTTAATATTTCTGCAACTTTGTCCAGTGCTACCCCATGATACTGAAAGGAAAGAGGATTTAAATCACCAAGCTGTTTGAGAACTAAATTAGGCAACACAGGCCAGCTTTTTGTGTAAATCAAGCTTCTATACAGAAGGATTAAGTCCAACTAGCTGGCTTCAGTGTGTTAAAATGATATCCACTTCATCTTTATTCTTCCATGTGTGTCCTAGTCTCTAGGTTAATTGACATTCTTATAAACATAAAACTGAAAATAGCTCTAGATGAGCTACTGAAATAGAATTTAGGGCATTTCCCCTCCTTGAATTTCAGCTACGTATGGCTTTCATTACAGCTTTAAAACAGTTCTCGCCCTTAATGGAACCAGGGCCCTCTGAGAAATTAGAAAACACTGTATCCTAGTGAAGGGGCAAGTCAGGAAGAGTTCAGCAGAAATTGCTCAGTCTCATTTCATAAGCAGAGATAATTTACTGCTTTCAATGTTAATAAAATGTGCCCCATTTTAACATTTGGAACTGAATATTTTTCTGTTCTGTAATAAGCCAGAAGAAAAGATGATTAATACATACAAGAATTGGTTTCTGAATGGGCTGAGGTGAGCGGGCTGTATATATGTGGCACTCAAAACAACATATGAGGTAACTTTTACTGTTCCCCATTTTGGGATATACGGGTAGATCCCAGAGGAAAGAGGGAATTAATTGGAAGTTAATTCCTTTTCTAACACAAAAAAGAGTGATTATTTAGATCTTGCTCTTGAAGCATAAAATAAAAGTGACAGGACACAGTTGGCAACAAACACAACTCTGGCAAGAACCCCTATTCTTCTTAGGCAACACACCCAATTGATACATTTTTTCCGACAGATAACTTAACAAAAGACTCAACCCCAAAATATTTCTGATTAATACCAATCACTCATGTACTTTTGATTCACAATATTCAAACTGACAGAAATGGGATTATAGAGCTTCAAGATCAAATGGAAAAAATAACTTATGTAATGCACAACACAGAAACATTATACTGAAGATCATGGGCTGCTGACTATTTGGCATTACAACATTTTGCAAAGCCAAGAAAACTAATACCACAGCAATTTCAGGGAAAGAACCAGAAAAAAGAGTCTTACAAACATCACCTATTTTAGGAAACATCTTCATGCATCTCTGTGATCACTATGATACACAGGAAGAAAAATTGCTTCTAGGCAATGCTATACCATCTTTCATTTAACTGGCTAATGGATAAACATCAACTTCTTCCATTATTATTAGACACAAAATAAATATTAATTTTTATTGGCTTGATTCTTTGTACAATTACAGAACTTCTGGGCAAATCCATTAGTGGAAAATCCCCAGAAAATCAGCAGATCCCACAACATAATGACTTTATACTCCTGGCAGCAATATTAAGGAAAGCATTTTCCTTGAACATTTCACACTGCTCTGTGAAGCTGACAAATACAGTTTCTTGGGGTGATACACAGCAAATTACATTAACTTTCTCTGAATCATCCCAGCAACTGTGTAAGATTCCAATCAGCCTCAGAATATGAGGCTAAGAGGTGATTTGATTTTATCACATTCCTTTACCCGAGTCTTACTGCAAATCTGGCTTGAATGGAAGACAAAATTAATGTTAGGGGGTTTACTTAATCTTGCTCTGTACCTCAGCACATATGTGAATCCTCAATAGATATATCTCACTATTTCCATCTAAAGCATTCTGTGTTTTGGAGAAAAACAAAAAATGGTTGGAGAAAAATGAAATAGGGAAAAAATAAAGCATGGACAGAAAGACAAAGATAAGAGAAAAATGTGTGGAATAGAAATTAAAGAGAGAAAACAACTCAGAGAGGAAGGGAGGGAACACTGTAGCTTCAGGGAGAACGAAAGCAAAAAGCCAGGTAAAGGAAGGAAAGAATAAGAATAAAAGCACAGAGAAAAACAAGGTAAAGAGCAGATGGCATGGGCTGCCATTCCTGTGATTCAGCGCTTTTGATGCAATATAACAACGACAACACAAAGCACAGATGTTAATCTGATCAGCACAGCCACCCCAGTACATCCAAACATCACCCCGAGAGAGAAGGAGCGGGGAAGAAGAGGAGACCAGAGCGCGAGCTGGCGAGCTGGGCTGTCCCACTCCAGTGGCACAGAAAGGCCCAGAAGAAAGAAGCATCAACTGGAAGTTGAGTTCACACTTCTTAGCACAGTAAATGGAAAAGCTGCAGCACAGCTTAGTGCATTCACCATATCTAATAGCACAATCATCTGTGAAAACAGAAAAATGGTTGAGAGCTGCAAGAATATTCCTCAGCCAATTATCCACAATTGCTGGGTACTTCCAAATAACTGTTAGTGAGCCTGAGCAGATCAACCCTCTCCACAGACTGGCAAGAGGCTTTTGTTCACTCGAGAAGCCAGCCCTTCTCAGGGTCTTCTTGGCAGGGCACAAATACCAGCCCTTTAAAAATTCAGCGCAAGTGGGGAAACGTTGCCATCAGGCTCCCCTTCTTCACCCCGTGTTCTTATTTTGCTTCATGCTAATTTTAACACAAGGTACGCAGCTCCCTTTGTGCTTGCCATGGGTGTTACCCCGCTTTTCACAAGGGATGCCAAAGAGAACGACCACTGACGTCCCGCCCCGTGTGCCCACGCCGGGACCGCAGCGCAGCCCGTCTCCTCGGAGAGCAGGA